ATGAATTACAAAGTATCAGGGAGTAAGGGATCACAAGAGTCAGAAGTAGGATGGTAAGAAAATCAGAAATACACTGGACTTCACTAGTGACAGATAAGTCCAGTATTTATAACAGCACTCTTTACAATGACACAAATAAGCTTTTACATTACAAATAATTTCCTCAACATTGTTACAAGTACTCTAGTACCACCTACAGGGTTACCTGAAAGTTTTTATTTATATAGATATATTCTCTAGGACTTCTCTAGAAATTAAGAATAGAGAACATAACAGCCTATTATCCACACAGTTCATTTTATTTCTGAAGGCATTTCTAGAAACTGCAAGAGCAATTTATTTCCATTTGTTAAAGTGGCTTTGAAAACAAACCAAAAAATGTGTATTAAGGGACCTGAATAGATTAACTGCCTTATCTCTTATCAAAAAGGAAGATCAATCAGAACAGGATGATTACTTGCAGTATACACCATTTACTGATTTTAAGGGTAAGCTGTACTTACCAAAGAGTAAACATCATGTTAGAGACAGCCATCATCTATTTTATTTCTGCCCATTAGTATTTCCAATTGATTAAAAGTCCTGCCTATCAGAAAGGAGACCTTTAATAACATCTTTACTACCACAAACAAATTAATCAAAAAGACTAGGCTATAGTCTCACAACTCATAAAAACTGCATTGTTAATCCAGGTAACACTGTGTGTGCTATGCTTAGTCGCTCAGTTGTGTCCAACTCTTTGCGACCCGATGGACCGCAGCCTGCCAGGCTCCTCTGTCCATGGGGATTCTCCAGACAAGAATACTGGAGTGGGTTGCCATGCCTTCTTCCAAGAGATCTTTCCAACTCAGGAATCGAACCCAGATCTCCCGCATTGCGGGGGGGATTTTTTACCGCCTGAGCCACCAGGGAAGCCCAAGAATACTGGAGTGGGTAGCCTAAGAATACTGGAGTGGGTAGCCTATCCCTTCTCCAGGGAACTTCCCAACCCAGGAACTGAACCAGGGTCTCCCACACTGCAGGTAATTCTTCACCAGCTGAGCCACCAGGGAAGCCCCCAGATAACACTACTATCTTATATATTAATTGAATTAAGGTCCAGCTAGTTCAAACAATATGTCCCTGATTATATAAACATTTTTTTCATGTTTTAACAATAACAACAACAAAAAAAATTGAAGGAGTTGTATTATCAATCTGTAATACTAGAATAAAAATTTCAACAACTGGCTTCAGGCTTCAATCTGGTGTTTTTTCAATGTAACATGCTTATGCAGTCTCTCATATCGGTGTTATAGATTTTAATCACGTTGGCCAACCTCTACACATATACAACCAAGGGTGCAATAAACTGATACACAATGACAGGAGAGATGTAAAGGACGTAAGAGCACTGTTTCTATCATATTATACACCAGGAAACATACAGGAAAGGCTAGAGACTTCTTGTTTCCCCAAGCAAGTTAAAGCTTAAAACAAAATTTCTGACCCTCGAGTTTATTTATTTACTATTCAGTCATCTCAGATGGAAAAGACAGTTATGACAATACTAATAATAATACTGTTTTGGGCCAGAAGGATAAAATCTTTAATGCTTATTTAGTTCTGTATCAAAAGATCTTTGAAAAAGCAAAGTGCAGAACAATATTTAGAGTAAGCTCCTATTTGTATAAAACAAGGGAGCTATATCATTCCTATATGCACAGAAAATTACAAGGACATAAAAGACATTCTAAGAGTGTAATGATGAGAAAAATGAGACAGGCTAGGGTAGGAAAGAAATCTTTCACTATGTACTCTTTGGTACTACTTGAACAACCTTTTCTTTTTTTTTTAACAATGTTCATGAAATACTTTTCCAAATAAAAGAAGATCTTTGATCCTGACAGGATGACCACTTTACAACATACAGTATGTTCCTGACTCCCACACTTAAAGAATTAAGATTCACATAAATGACTAATATAATTTTAAACATCCATATTCACTCTAAATAAAAACTAAAGTTTACTCCTCAAATCTATGTTAAAGACAAAAACACTTTAATTGTCTAATTTTTGGACAGAAGTATATATTAACATTAATCCTGCGTGTTATTTTCATGGATAATGAAGTTCAAGTGTTCACTGGTATTACTGCTTAAGTTCTAAAAGCCTATAAAAACATCTCTCATTTTAGTCTTCTATAAATAACTGGCAAAATTTCAAGCTCACAAGAAATTTTCTACCATATATATAGCGATTTCAATGAATTCTATTATTTCAACAGAAATAAAAAGCACATAAATATATAAACACAAAGTAGAAATGACACTGCTTCTTAAAAAAAAAAAAAACATTAGAAAAGGTAATTCAGTTTTAATTTATTTTCATCACTTGTTCTTCATGATCCAGATATTTTAAAATGTAATGAAAATTAACTTTCCATGATATGGCAGGGACTGGCACTAAAAAAATTTTTGGACTGCAAATGAGTTATACAAATGAAAATATCAAATGGAGATCCAGTTATCAAAATGAAAGCACTCAACATATTAAAAGTTCACAATTATTTGTTTAGAGCACATAAAAAAGTCAGCTTACTAACCAACTGTTGAGATTTTAAAGAACTATTGCAGAGGTTTGAAGAAAATAGATTTATTAGTTAACTTATAAAGATTAAAGAGCTTGAAACAAGTATTAAAAAGAAATTTGTGCCTTTATTAGAATGGTGTTAGGCTTTAAATATACCAATTTGGGTAATCAAATTATTCATTTTTTAATAAGAAATGACACTACAGAACTGCAATTCTGGTCCAACAGTCTTGTCTTTACTTTTCCTTTAAAGCGAGAAAACAGAATGCGAGTAATCAGAAAGCACTAGCAGGCATCAGTTAATCCAAGACACTAGCTTCTTAGTTCCAAAAGCACTTGCAAAGAAAACCATTGGGGGCACAGGAAGGTGGAAGCACTTCATAATAACTGGAATCCCATGAGTGTGTTGTGTATGCCAAGTCTCACAGGTTACTTTTTGTATTTATCCTTTACTTGGTCACTTTTTTTTTACCCTCAAATACTAGTTTTTCTTTGACTTTTTTCCTCAAAGTATAAAAAGTATGAAATATAAACAAGCTCTTGCATTGCACACACTTCAAAGTGTACAATTCAAGCATTATAGAGCTATCTACATACTGATAAATCCCATCAAATCTTGGATAATTCAATAATATACAAAATACCAGGGCACAGAAAGAACTAAAACCCACTTCTTTTTGATACACGTAAGATTCAAATATTCAATCTAAAGAAAAACACTTAATCATTTTGGCTCTCCTCTACATTCGCATGTTGATATACTTATTAAAATATTCCTGTATAATTAATGTTTGGTCTTATTATTTCAAGTCAGGTTTAAAACCAGCCATCCAGACAAAACAGGTAATCAGAAAGACTATTTCTTCCCCACCTCCCTAACCCCAATAACTATGAAGCCAATTTTACGACATGACTCCAAACACTGGATTGTGACGACAAATGCTAGGTCCAATTTCTTCATAATCCTTTTTGGTGTGGCATACTTGGTAGAACTCAGGCTGAAAATAAAAACAGATTTTTGGAAAGGTCAAAAATGTACCACTTTTCAACATGCTTTAAGATAGGTATGTTAAATCTAAAACGTTTATCAGTCCATTCATGGTAGTTGAACAAAGCTTTGAAATTCTAACTGTGACTCAAAATCAGCTACAAGTCTATAACCAAAACTGAAAAGGAACATTTGAGAAAAGTCTTTCTAATCCCCCTCCTCAACATCTGTTTCTCCTGGAATTTTTCAATTTTGAGGAATCTCAAATGCCCAAACTATTCTGTTGTGGCTTTCCCACACTGTACATTGAATCAAGAAAAGCAGCAGCATTCATGTAAGTTACAGGTGACGTATTCCAGGTCATGTTCCAAAAACTTGCTTTCCTCACTGAAGGTCTGGTATAGACAGACTATTCCACAGTCTATTACCTCATTTCTCCAAGGGGAAAGTTACACACTCAACTAGGTGATAGAGATAGCACAACTGAAGACAATTCAAATTAAGGAAGAAAATAACTTTTACCTCTTATTTTTAAATGCTTTTATTGAAATCCAAGGTTGTATAGTTTTCAATAATTCAAATAAAAGTTCTTACACTTTATTTTCTACTGTGTACTACAGGATAAAGCTAAAAAGGTGAAGTCGCTCAGTCATGTACAACTCTTTGCAACATCATGGACTGTAGCCCGCCAGGCTCCTCCATCCATGGATTTGCCGAGCAAGAATATTGAAGTGGGTTGCCATTTCCTTCTCCAGGTACTACAGGATAGAGCACCACTATTTACTAGGCTAAGGATGTTAAAATTTAAAGTATCTTTTAAAGGGACTTTAAGATGTTTTGGTTTGGGAGAGGTATATTAATTCCCTTGACTCAGTTTAGAACATCATACTTCCTATGTGGCAACTCTTAATATTTTAAAATATTTGCACAGGAAAAACAATGGCCTTCTGATACCTGTATCACCACAGAGTTAAAGGTTCTCCCCACAGATAAGCTTTAAATCCTCACTCTAGGACTTCCCTGATGATCCAGAATATGCCTGCCCAAGCAGGGGACATGGGTTCTATCCCTGATCTGGGAATATTCCACATGCCACAGGGCAACTAAGCCCATGCACCTGTGCTCTAGGGCCCATGTGCTGCAACTACTGAAGTCCTTGCACCCCAGAGCCTGTGCTCTGCAACAAGAAGCTGCCGCAACGAGGAATCTGCGCACTGCAGTGAAGAGCAGCCCCCAGCTGCTGAAACCAGAAAGAGCCCACGTGCAGCAACGAAGACTCAGCACAGCCAAAAAAAATACATTATAAGAAGTGCTCACTCAAAAAAGGTCTAGCAAGAACAAAAAACAAAACAAAAAAACCAGTAAGTCCAAATGAATTCCACTTTTCAAAAATACTGTGTTTATTTGTGTTCAATTTTAAAACTTCCCTGTGCAATATTATATAAAAATTTAAGAAATTTCTCTTGTTCCTCTAAATTAAGTTGATAAATTATTTTATCTTTAAAACAAAAAAGGCAAATTTTAAAGTAAGCTTCATCTCACTTACTGTGGAAGCCAGCATAGATCCTCCAAACCAAACTGCATATCGTTGCATGTGGTGCGTAATGACTTGTACATCAATAGGTTTTGGCTATAAAAGATATAGTAAGATCAGTTCAATGGTAAACTCATATAATAATCCCTGTAGTATTTAACCTTAGTTGTACATACTCAAAAATAAATAAAAAAAAAGATGTGGAGGTGGGGGTGTACACAGAGCAAAACAATGTAACAGAAACAAATTAAGCTAATTTTATAATTTTTTAAAATATAACCACACTGAAGTATGGGAAAAGAACTAATCCAGGTAACCCATGAACACAGTATTAGGACTACGCCCTCAGGCTTAAGCTAAAAACTAAGCAAACACTGAACTCTCATTAGTTGGTCGATTTCTCACAGTGGCATGGATCAATAATTCTGAAACTACTATATATGTATTCCAGGATTGAGCAAACGAACATAAGGCTGGTTTCTTACCGTCCCAGAAGAACATTACAAATATGGGAAGGTAAAAGGCTAGAATGAACCTTACAGTATTCTGAAACTTCTATTATCTGTATGAATCTGTAGTTTTTACAAAGAACTACATTTACATGTGCACGCGCGCACACACACACACACACCACCCCCCCCCCACATCTGACTGCCAACAAGGCCTAGATGCACTGACCCCCTCAGTGACAATTGAATATATATCTAGTGTCCAAATCTTGGTTTCTTTTAATTGAAGTACAGTTGGTTTATAATACTGTGTTAGTTTTGGGGTGTACAGCAAAGTAATTCATATCTATATAGGTACATAGATAGATTTCAGATTATTTTCCATTAGAGTTACTGTAAGATACTGAATACAGTTCCCTGTGCTATATAGTAAAATCCTTGCTGCTTGTCTATTTTATGTATATAGCATTCTCCACTAAAAGGAACAAGGGTACCTTGAAATAAAATGGCTGATTTCAAGACTGGAGAAGAGAAAGTACAAGATGAACCTGCAATATCTTGCAATTTCAGAAAGTGAGGATGTACCTGCAGAATACTGTGGCCACAACAAAAGGAATAAAAGCCACCTCTGAAGGATTCTTACTAGTCAAGTATGAGAAAGTTTAAGCATCAAACTTAATAACAGTATTAATGATACAGCCTACAGAATAACTGAGAAATCAGGAGTTCAGGGATATTAATGAATGAATAAGGGGGAAGGACATACTCTTTCTTACAGTAAAATGAGACTATGAAACACAGAATAAATAATGGAATTTGCAAAATACCATTTGGCAACTAGCACAGCAATAACTAAATATGATGTTAAAATCAGTGGCTGAAACTTTGATGAAAAACAAGGCAGTTATGCCTCATCTGAAAGTATCACCCTGTGAGATGCTTATTAAATACAGAGGAAAAAACAGTACCTTTCTCTGCAACAGAGACACCTGACACCCTTAACCAGGCACTCCGAGAGAACAGGAAACAAACCACGCGCCTGGCGGTGCAGCGCAGTCAGAAGGAGACCGCATCACCGCCGAACACTACTGCCAAAAACACTATCTGAGCCTACTCGTAGGAAAATATCAGACAAATCCAAACTGAGAAACAGTCTGCAAAATAAACTGCCTGGAGTCTTCAAAAATATTAAAGTTATAAAAGACAAAAAAATGAGTACTTTTTCCAGATAAGAGGGAAATGAAACCAAATTCAAACATATGATCCTGGACTGAATCCTAGACCAGAAAAAAAAAATATATATATATATATTTTTTTTGATTTTGATAATTGTAATGGCCTGTTTTTAGGAAATACACACTAAAATTTAGGGGTAATAGGCTATATTTGCAAGTCACTCTCAAATAGTTCAGGAAGATACATGTGTCTATTTGTATACATACATAGATTTATAAAAATAGAAAAATAAAGCAAATATAAAATGCTAAAATTTGGAAGTCTAGGAGAAGAATATATAGGAATTCTACTAGAATTTCCCAACCGTGTTAAAGTATGAAATTATTTTGGAATAAAAATTTTTTTAATTTATATGTCACAAAAAGATATGGCTTTTTGTTACTAAAAAAAAGCTATTTGACTGTCCTTTAAAATTGGATTGACAGGGAAAAAAGCCAGATTTAAATACAAATATATAAATATGTTATAAAGATCCATAAAAATAACTACTGAGTAAAATAAAAGGGAAGGAGGTGGAGTATGTAGGATTTTTCCTATATTATTAGATATGTTAGCATAGTGCTGACAACACTGAGAGAAAAAAAAAACCTCTCAGTTCTTAGAAATGTGTAAGAAGCTTAAAAATATTTTAAACATTTTTATTTAGCTGCAATGAGTCATTACAAACTAAACAACTACTTTTTATTGTACTCCAAGGGATAGTTTAAAGATAATCAAAATTTAGGGGCTGAAAGTAGTCAGCTATCATGCAATTCTTCAAACAGCAGTAAACCACAGGGTGTTGTATTGACCACTTTCAAGTAATTCTGGGTAACTAGTAGTCTTGGATGAAGCCCTCATTCTTGGAAATTTTCCAAGTTGCATAAATTCATTTTACTTAGTAACATATCCTCTGAATCAATGTTTTGCTTCAATATACCACATATAATGATAATGAAACAAAATTTACTGGAAATTTGTCTTACAAATATATAAAGCAGTCATCTGAGAATTTGAAGTTAATTTTGATTTTTTTTTTTTTTTTTTGACAGCAAACCCAAAATTACAGGACAGAAATTGAAAGGATATTTTGCTGTACCAACAATCTGATTTCACACTATGAGGCTGCTATGGGAGAGGATAGTCAGTGTGTGAAAACAGGTGAAATCACACAACCGTCTCTCTCTTTCAACTCTGCTTTGTTGTCCTGCTATAAAAGGTATTTAATATTTTGTAGACTCATAAAGAATATTATTCCTGGAATATGCAACAAACTACTATATGTAAATTATCTGTGAGATAAACATTAAAAAAATCTCTCTCATAGCTATGAAAGTCAAAGTGCTAATCACTCAGTCATGGCTGACTCTGCGACCCATGACAGTAGCCCACCAGGCTCCTCTGTCCATGGAATTCTCCAGGCAACAATACTGCATTGGGCTGTCATATTTTCCAGAAATACAGGTAATTTCCTAGAGGAATGGAATGACCAAGAATATCATGGATATTAATCTATAAAATTAACCACTTTCCATTAGACACCTCAGGCTCCTCTTACCTTCCAAAGAAAGCTGGCAGACATTCTACATTTCCAATATAATAATCAAGGCACCCTCAACCTTTCTACCAATAATTGAGAAAACCTACCTTCAATCTACCACCACTCAATTCCTCACTTAATTTCAGTCTGGCATCTACAGTTCTTTTCAAATCTCTTTGCAAGCGACGTCCAAAGTCCCTGAACATGGTTGAACCTCCGGAGAGGACAATATTCTGTATTAGTGGAGAAAAATAAATAAATAGAACTTTTACATAAAGAGAAGTTTAGACGTGTTTTTAAATCTACATTCACCAACAGAGAGAAAATAAAGACGTTTTTTAAAAGTGTCACTTAGAATAACAACTTTGCTATAAACACTGACCTTGTAGAGAGGACGTCTGACATCAATAGGACAATTCTGAATTACTTCATCTACAACTTCTGAGATAGGCTGGGTAAAGTCTGGGTTAGCAAACTGAAAAGTTGGACACATGATAGAGATTAGACCACTACTGATTTAAATATCACAATTAAAAATTAAGAAACTTTTCAGTTCAAAAATAAAAGAACTTCTAGAAATAATAAATTCTGGTCTCTGCCTCAAAGACACTGAAATCAGAGATTTCAAAAGAAATAAAATTAAAATAATGATTACATATACCATCTCATAACTATCAGATTAGCAAAAATGTAAAGCCAAACATATACTATGACCTGGCAAAAATCTATATAAATGGGAGCACTTTACAATGCTGATGAGAATATACACTGATGTAAAGATTACTCACTATAGCACTTTAGCATTCAAAAGAAAGTTCCTGAGATTAACTCTGATACTATTGACTGGTATTTTCTGCAGAATAATTCAAAAAACAAATCTATCTTAAAAAAAAAAAACTTACCTCTGGATGAAAAAAAATTTCAGGTCCCAAGAATCTCTCATATCCAACATCAATGGAAAACTCTTTCTTTGAGATAGCATTGATTCCAGTATACTGTTTAATCCACTTTGATCCATCTGTATCATACTTGTTAAATTCTTTTACTAAGTCTGGGCAGACATAACTATAGCGCTCCTAGAAAATGAAAAGTAATTTTTCTCCATTGTTTTAGGAAAAGCAAAACAGAATGTATTTATTTTCAGTAAACTAAAATCAAATGAAAAAATAGCTTAAGAAAATAAAATTCAGAAATTAAGATGAAGAAAATTTTATGTTAGGATGTTATCATATGTATAGTACAAATAAACAGCTCATCTCCTGGGCTTCACATACAAATAGAATAAGACTTAACAAAGAGTCAATTTCTAATATTTCAGTGCTACTTCATGAAAGCACTCATTAATGTTATACAAAATTCTATACTGTTTCAATACTCAGAGGACTTTAAAAGAAGAGAAAACAAAATACACAAAGAATTGCAAAATAAATACCTGACATAACCACACAAATTAGTACAGTAAGAGGTACAAACTATTAGGTATAAAATAAACTTCAAGGATATATTGTACAACATAGGGAATATAGCCAGTATTTTAAATGAAGTATGATCTTTAAAAGCTATGACTCACTATGCTGTACACCTGTAACATATATATTATAGAGCAACTATGCTTCAGTAAATAAAATTTCTGAGGTGACTTTTGCAACCATTAACAAATTCCTTTACTATGTAAGAAGTGGTAAATTCACTTTCATTCCTAACCTCTTTTAAGCAAGGAAAACACTATAATCATGCAAAGACTGTCAAATCAATGGAACTATTTTTACCTGGGAGGTTTTGCTTTTACGTATTTAAAACATAAATGAAATTTTTTAGATATGTTGACAAATGATAAATTTTAAAAAGCAATGCTAAATATTTTGGTATTTTGTGTAAGCCCTAGTGTAGCATACAAATTATTAAAATACCTTACACAGCCTTCACATTTTTCTTCTATCTGCCATATCATTTGAACCAACCACTGCAACTATTCTACAGCCCAATGAATCAATGACACCGAAAATTTTGTTGTAACAGATAACTGTTAGAATCAGAAATAAAGAAATCAGTGAAAATTGAGATGTGAGGACTCTGAAGTGAACTAATCACAGACATACCCCATTTTACTGTGCTTCGCCAATAATGTATTTTTTAAAGATACACTGAAGATATTTGGCATCTGCATTATCAGATGACAGCATGCTTTAGCAATAAATATTTTTTAATTAAAGTATGGGGTTCCAAATTAAAGTACATACATTTTATAGACATAATGCTATTGCCACTTAATAGACTGTAGTGTAAATATAACTTTTAAATGCAGTGGGAAACCAAAAATTTTGTGTGATTTGCTTTTTTGTGATACTCGCTTTCCCACAGTGGGCCAGAACAGAACCCACAGTACATTCAAGGCATGCTACATTTATTTTACTAAAGAGAGTAAGTATATTGAAGTCAGTTTGTATAAATATCCTTATATGTTAGTCTTCTCAAATGTGAAATGTGGTGAAAGCAAGCAACAAGTTGCTAAGACCCCAAAATCTCCTATAAGAAATACAGAGAAAAAAATATAAATTAAGAATACTGGTTTGTAACTGGTAACAAAAGCTTTTGTTAAACTACTGTTCTTGACTTAAGAATTTTTCCAGTTAATATTATAAACATGAATTTCATTTCTAACTGAATTATATTCTCAGCATAATTTTTTACCTTCACTGCCTTAGCAGTTTCCAAGGATTGTTCTGGAGGAATTCCTACTTCTCGGTCTCTCAACAATTGCTGAATAAAATATGTTATATCTCGTCCTGCGATTGGAATGTGCTTAATACAGCTGCCAATCACATACCCTTCAGCCTAGATAGGGAAAAAGTCAAATTTATTTTCAATGTTTTCAAGAATCACCAAACTAATCACTAAAGATCAATTTCTCAGATTACTGCATTTGTATCCTTAAGTATTGCTTCATTCCAAGAAAATGCTTCTAGTCTTTATTCCTCAACTGTATTCTTCATAGATAACTTACCACAGAATTTACAATACTGTACAGACACCATGAATAAGAATGGCCAGCAAGTTAGATTTATTATCTCACTGGTAAGAGTTTATAACAAAGACTGAAATGATTCAACAACAAAGAAATAGTGAATTTCAGAAGCATTAAAGGTTTTACATAACAGACTTCAAATAGGAATTTACTGTTTAAATTTTCTATAATTTCAGCAAGAAATTTAAAGTGCATTGTAGGAAATTTGATCATTAACACACATTTTCTATCATTTTTCTAATGAAGTAGGTACCAACTTAAGTCTGAGATAGTCCATGCACCATAATTCCAAATAATATATTTTGCAGAATGAATTTATAAATTTCTACAACTCAGAAGTACAAAAATAATGTAACAAAATTACATTTCATTAACAACACTGTTATTTTATGAAAAGGTAGAGTATTATTAGATTATGGTAAGTTAGAGATGTTTACTATAAACTATACAGCAAAACTCACCAAAATCAAATGACAATAACAAAGAAATACACAGCATAGCTAAGTCAGTAAAAAAGATAAAATGAAATTATAAAAAACACTCCATTAATTCAAAAGAATGCAGGAAAAAATAATAGGAATACCCAATTCTTAATATGCTTCATAAAACTATTCCAAGTTGGTAGCTTCTTTTTGCAAATTACCTACTCCAATATTAATTATAAGGATAAAGATATTATTGCTTAATTGTGTAGATATTAAGAAAAGACTGCAGTCAGGCAGAGCAAGTTCAAATCCTAGCCACATGACCTACTTGGTGATGTTAAGGAACTCATTTGCATTTTATAAGTAAGTAAACTGAGGTCCTTAAAGGATAATATAATCTACAACGTAGATCTTGAGGTTAAAATGAGAATTTTAAATAAACAATTTAAGAATCTTTATGTATCTCTAAGCAGCATACATGTATCCATTATTTAATCCTCAAAACAGTTCCATTAAACAGGTTGCTATTATTGTTCCCATTCTGGAAAAAAAAAAGGAAAAGAATATGTAGCACTAAGAAAAATATGCCACCTAAATTATAAAAAAAGCTATCAAAATATTAGATACACCCTAATTTCCAAGATATTAAAATATCCCCCAATGCAATACAATAAAATGTAGAATAGCCATACAATAAGATATCATTTGGCAATAATAATAAGTGAAGTACTAGACATGCTACATCATGGATAAACCTTGAAAACACTGGGCTATGTGAGAGAGGACAATCACAAGAGTGTAGGACTCCATTTATATGAAATAGCGAGAATAAGCAAAACTATAGAGACAGAAAAAGTAGACGGGGCTAAAGGTAAGGGGGGAGAGTAAATGCTAAGATACATAAGGTTTCTTTTCAGAGTGATAAAAATGTTTTAAAATTGACTGGTAATGATGCACTTTATACAAAAAACACTGCATTGTACACTATAAATGAATGAACTGTGTGGCGTGTGAATTATATCTCAAAAAAGTTTCTTTTTTTTTTTTTTTTAAAGGGCAAGTATTGCTAAAACTATTATGATATCAGGAGGGTGAATTATTACATCTAACCCAATAATCACTCTGAGGATGTAATCGTCAACAGAGGTTGCCCAGTGCATTAAAATGAGGAATAAGAATAATGAAGAAATAAAAGTTCAAAACAATTTCATTCTTTACATGATATTCAATGTAACATAAAAATTTTTTAAAAGAGAAATATTTCTATATATACCAAGCTGATAGAGATCAGTATGAATTCAAGTAATAACTCTGAATCTATTGGGCACAATGAAAATATTTAATTTGTCGTTAAAAACTAGAAGTAGAAAGGCTTTGGCAGAAAAATGCCTTCTCTCACAAATAATCCAATCTGATGCAATTTTCTTAATGTGCTTGATTAAGTCCATGCAAAGCACAACCACAACTTGAGCTTTTTAATTCAAAAATGTAATTCCCCAAAAGTCATTGATGGTCATGTACTTTCCACTAACTGCCATTTTAGTAGAAAGCTAACACAAGTATGAAATATGTTAATTAAGAAGAATAAGAAAAACTATTCACTGGCTGTGGAGTAGGAAATGGCAACCCACTCCAGTATTCTTGCCTGGAGAATCCCATGGGCAAAGGAGTCTGGCAGGCTACAGTCCGTGGGGTCGCAAAGTCAGACATGACTGAGTGACTTAGCACATTCACTGGCTAACATACATCCAAACTGGAAAGCTAAATTCCATGTTTAAGAAAAGAAAGGCACATTTCCATTCCAGATACTAGAATTCACCATTTCCTAACTACAAATTGGAAACAACTTCTAATAATTTTCTAATTATTTTTAACTATAGTACAAACCTATAGCAAAAAAGAAAAAAAAAATGGAATTTGTTCACAAAATTCAAATGTGAGCAAAACACACCTATAGCAGAGCAATGACCAAATTATAGTAAATAAATATAATATTTCAAGTTTTTTTTTAAGGTGGCATTAATCCATATAATTTAACCTTGCTAGATGTTAACTGCTATCTTGTTCAGTAATTGTAAAATATCCTTACCACAGGGATGACATGAGTGACACCGTCTCCACTGTCTATTACCGTACCGGTCAACGTCCGTTCTCCTACTTGTCTGGAGGTCCAAGATGCAGCTAAGGCAAGAACGGCCTTGGACAAAAAGAAATATGGCAGGCACAAAAATGAAATAAACAGTTAATAGAAAATTTTTTTTATTGTAGAACTTTATTCAATTGTAAACGTAGTATCTTTGGGAAGAAAATACACAGAATTAACTTACATTATACAATAAAATTCTTTATATCCTATATATTATTAAGACAACTTAAAGGCTTACATTAGTTTTTAGGGGCATATTTATAAATTTTCCATATTTTAGTGAGGGCCATTTTCCTCCTATTATAGCCAAAAAAAAAGTGGAAGACTAACATGAGATACTACAGTACTAAAATATAGCAGAATAACATGAGATAATACAGTACAGGACTTAAACTTTGTGTATATATATGGCCTAGCCTATAACAAACACAAAGGTAAAAGTAAGGTAGAGACACCAACCATGAGTTATTTAATACATAGATGGCTATATATAAGTGTCACTCTTAAAAGATTAGCTCCAAATTTTCTAAATGCAACAAGCATTCAGGAATATGTAATGAGCCATATGAGCAGAGAAAAGACCACTGCACACTTCCAAATACTGTGAGTTAATTAGGAAAACAAAGTCGATGAAATAATGTTTTTCAAAAAAAAATCTTGGCATAAGCAATAAAGTATAAGTTTTTCCATTTACAAATTAAGAAATTAATGTAACTAGTTCAATTAAAAAAACTAAATTTCATACAAATCCAAGCCTCAAACAAGATAATTAATTAAAAACAGTACTAAGCTGGCTTTATTTTATTTACTTGCAATATAATAGCTGAAAGGAATCTAGAAAGGTAACTAGACCATCCTCTTACTTTAACACCATAATCATTATGGGCTAACAGAACTACACAATAATTTATATACTTGTTAAGCATTTGTGATATGCCAGGGATCACATTTGCTACAGGGTTAAGAAACAAGTAAGAAGTAAGCTCTGTTCCTAAGAGGGGAGAGAAACTATTCCACTGTTCCATACAGATTTAATTTCATACAAATTAAATTTGACAAAACATTATAGGGATTTATGACATACAGTATACAGAGGGGCACGATGGCAACAATGGTCAAACATATGTAGTGGTAACTAATTCAAAACAGACTACAAAGAAGGAAACAACGCATGTTGTAAGGGTAAATAAATGTGTATACAAAGCTTTAGACATGAACTCTGAATAAATATTAGTTCCGTTATTTCTGTTCTACGAAAGGCCTTATTAATTTATCCAAAAACCATCAATTTACTTCTACACTTCTCTTTTACTCACTAAATAGTTCCATTGCTCTAATGATTTCTAAATTATCAATTCAACAGAAAACTATGTTTTGAAATTAAGAAAAATACACAAATATTTTAAGGTTGAATTAAATCAGCTTAAAATTTAAGAGCCATGCTTATTTTGACATCTAAACTTGCTTACCTGTACAGCAATGTACAAGCCAGGAACATTGAAGGACTCAAACATTATTTCAGCAGTATATTCCCTGTTTTCTGGAGTATTCAGTGGAGGTTCAGTCTATGAAATTGAATAACATTTAAATAGGCATTATCAGATTACTGTGATAACTTTATAGACAATCTGTAAGTGAAAAATAATGTATTTTTCAAACACTATATTTATATAAAAGTCATTAAACTCAGAGGTACAAAGACACATAGGCTAACGAAAAACTAGAGAATTCAACTAGACCTACACATACATGTAACTGCTAGAGTATAAAACGGAGATGTTGACAGCTCTCTTCAGTCTGAGTTATGTGACTGCATAGAGACTACGGGGTGAGTCTGGGTCAGAACACAGCCCAGTGAGGCGAGAAAGGACCCAAGGAACGGCACCCAGAGCCCTGGGCGTCGCGCCTCACCTCTACCCCAGGAGCACCTACGTCGTCCTATGTCACCAAGCTTGAGACCACATGAGACATTCTCAGGAGTCCATTTGACTATTCAATTATTTCTGTTATCTCAAATACTTAAACTTGAAAGGCAAAACTTAAACTTAAGAAATACAGAATTATCTTTTTGACCTGGAGTTAAGGAAAATTTCCTTAAATTTAATGAGCACAACTTGCAAAAGGAAAGACAGATAAAACTTAAATTCACTGCAAACAAAGTCATGTTCTAGATTCTAAGACACCACAGAAATTTTTTTCAATTAACTGGGATTAGATCTTTTCCATTCATAAAACCTTTTAACTTCTAAACTACTTGATGTATTTAAACTTATTTAGGAAGGCTTTGGACTATGTTCAAGAATTTGGAGATAATTTAGTAATAGTTATGTGTAAAATTAAGCAAACTAAAAAAACCAAGGCACTTAAATTATTCACTCCAAGAAAAACAGAATCCTATACAAAATAAAATTTAATCAGAAGATCTCACAAGGAAAATATACAAATAGCTAATAAGCACATGAAAAAGTACTCAATGTTACCAGTCACCAGAAAAATGCAAATTAAAACCCAAATGAGAAAGCTCACACCCACCAGAATGGCTAAAATTAAAAAGACTGACACATATGAAATTTTAGATAGAACGCAGAGTAACCAGATCAATAACACATTGTTGGTGGGTGTGCAAAAAGGTACAGTAGTTTGGGAAAAGTTCTGAAACCTTCCTATAAACTCAATCATACAGCTATCCTATGACACAACAATTCCTTATCTAGGTGTTTACACAAGAGAAATAAAAACATTTTCACAAAAGACTTGTATAAGAACATTCACAATATCCAAAATATTCCTATCAAAAACTTGGAACAGCCCAGGTGATTTTCAACAGGGAAATGGGCAGTGAGGCATATCTGTACAAAACAGAGTATGACCCAGCAAATGCAACAACACGTATGAATTTCAAGATTATGGTGAAAGAAGTCTTACCAAAGAGCACATTTTATACAATTCCATTTATATGAAACTCAAAAATAAGGAAAACGTATATGTGTGGGAAAAAAACTGGAACAAGGGTTGCCACCAAGAGATGGGGGTAAGGATTAAGTGGAAAAGGGCACGAGATAATTTGCAGCTTAACAGTAATTAACGTTCTGTATTCTGATAAGGGTTTGGGCCTCACAGACATATGCATATGTCAAAACCAGAGAAGGGCAACGATTAAGACATCACGCATCCTGCAGGCCAAATCCAGGCTACCCTTCTTTCTGTAAGTAAGCTGACTGGAACACAGCCACTGCGTATGGCGGCTCTCCTACTACAACAGCAGAGCTAAGCAGCTGCAACAGACACCACATGGCTCACAAAGCCAAAAATCTTTCCTGTCTACCTTTAGACAAAGTTTGCCAATGCCAGGTCAAACCAATAAAATGGCAGGGTTAAGATGTGTGATTTTACAGAATATAAGTTTTGTATAAAAGAAAAAAATGTAAACAGTAATAATAAACTCTAGTTGATGTGTAAGTTGCTCAGTCGTGTCCGACTCTTTGAAACTCCATGGACTGTACAGTCCATGGAATTCTCCAGGCCAGAATACTGGAGTGGGTAGCCTTTCCCTTCTCCAGGGGATCTTCCCAACCCAGGGACTGAACCCAGGTCTTTCACATTGCAGGCGGATTCTTCACCAGCTGAGCCACACGGGAAGCCCCAAGTTGATGATAATGTATGCTAAAGTAGTTAGTGGTGAAATGACTCAATCTGCAACTCTTTGCAGTGATTTAAAAAGTAAGATGGAGTAATAGAAAGATAACCAAATAAACAGATGTTCTAAGACAATTACAGTAAAATTGATTGCTGAGTCTAGACTGTAGGGGCTCAATGCAAGGTTCTTTGAACTTTATGTATATGTATATTCACATATTTATGTGTGTGTGTGTGTGTATATATATATATACAGTCACCATAATAAAAAATATTAATTTTACCCAAAATTATGATATAACTATATCACAGAAAGAGGAAGAAGATAAGGATGTTGTGTTAAGGAGGGGGGACAAAAGGAAAAGAAGAAAATACTCATCTTTCCTAGTAGGAAGTTATAGTATCTAATATTTAAAATAACAAACAAAAAATAGAAGAAATACATGAGAAAACTATCAGGAAAAACTCTTTAAAATTCTAAAGCGTGTGCCTCTGGGGGATCAAGGGTTTAAGAGTAGGGAGAGGTGAGGAAGGAAAGGGCTGTTTTTTAAAGTTAAATCTACAGCACTTAAATTTTTAAAGTTATAAACATGCATTGCTTTGATTAAAAAAGTTTAAAAATTAAATTACATATTTTATTAGCAAGAATCACAAATGAAATAATCATACCCGCTGTTTAATAAACAAAAAAAGTGCCATGTTTCCAACTTCTTCCCCTCAAATTTACATTAAAGATACTAAAAATGATCCAGATTTATCACAATGTTTTTAGATACATGACAAATAAATTATAGCCTATTGAGTACAGATGTAATGAAAACATTCTCATTAAGCTTCTTCAAAAATTTCCTCACTGAAATTATAAATTGTGCTTACCAAAAGAAAATAATGATCTTCAGGTTCTGCCCTTAAATATTTAAAGATCACTTGCTCCATAAACCTTTCCATCAAATCCCAATCTTCAACTATACCATGGCGGATTGGCCACTATTAAAACAAAAAAACAAAACAGGAATTAAATCTTTATTAATATAAAATTTTGATATTTATTAATATAAAAACAATATCTAATTATTATTTGATATTAATAATAGTAATACCAAAAATATTAGATGAGGGAAGCATTTCTTAGGTGTAATGACACACAGATCATTAGAAGATACATACTTAACTGAGATAAAGGAAATGATTTCTACATATTTTCAGATGTTTCTATTAAAAAAATGCAAATATGTCAAAATATTAAAAACTATTCAATCTACATGAAAGATTGCACCAGTCTTTCTAGATTTTTGAAAATTTTATAATAGAAACATACCCCATTAAAACTCAGCTTGTGAAAATTACAGGTTATGACAACTTGCGTAATCTTTAATTTATCAGCTCTCACAAATATTTGTTGTGTGTCTAATATATAAAAAACAGCTGGTAAGTAAATAGCAAGAATAATCGTAAATCAAGCAAGCAAAATTTTGTAAGACAAGTCATACATATCTGTATAGACTCAGTTTCAAAACTGAACCTGGCAGAACTACAGAAAATTCAAAAAGACATCGCTAAGTACTTTCAATTTTCCAGGGAAATTTGGTGATACTCAGAATCAGTCTGAGACTACATATCTACTAGTTTAAAACAGTACAGTTTCAACATTAGTCAGTAACATCACTTCTTTGAAAAACTGGATTACCAGCAGTTGCTATGATAAAAATTAAAATCTCTCCCCCCAAAAATCCATAAAATAAGAAATGTAAAAAAAGCAAATTAAGAAATGAGGATGGTGATACAAAATCTAATTCCAGGTGTGAGAAACTGTGACCTACCTGATAGGCACATGCATCCTAATAGTAACTAATTAATAATCAAACAAAAATATTTTCCTCTCAAAGAAGTGTCATTTTTTTTTCAAGTAGCTACGCTGCTACTCAACAGACTGTTACAAATCCTTCTAAGTGACAAAAAACTGTCAAAACTTTTACTGAAACACTAAAGGCACTAAGAAAGTTTGTGAACCTCTGCAATAAAACAGTTTCACAACACATAAAACTAAAGCAAAAATTAGTATTCTGAATACATGAAGAATTCCTTAAACAAGCTGAGTAAAAGCTTAGGCAAAACTCTTCCAAAATTTTATAAACGAAAACATTTTTAAAAATACAGTTCCATGCACATAGTATAAATATACACTTAGTACCTAAGGCTGAATTTATTAATGAAGAAAATATCCTATTGTCATTTAGTCATCATTAAACCTCTTATCTATTCATTTTTAATAACCACATTTCACCAAAGCCTTCTAATAGATACTTCTTAAAGCATTACACTTAAAAAAATAACTTCTACTCCTCACTGTCTCATTGGAAAAGACCCTGATGCTGGGAAAGATTGAAAGTGGGAGGAGAAGGGGATGACAGAGGACGAGATGGTTGCACGGCATCCCCAAATCAATGGACGTGAGTCTGAGTAAACTCTGGGAGCTGGTGATGGACAGGGAGGCCTGGCGTGCAGCAGTCCATGGAGTTGCAGAGTCGGACACGACTGAGCAACTGAACTGAACTCCTCGCTTTGCTTTAGGAAAGGAAAGAAATGTACTTATTACATCATTCATTTTACAACATTACTGGAAGTTTACATATTTTAAAGTTCTAAATGATATTTATTCATTTATTCATCATTTATTATTGTGCACCTACTATGAATCATTGGCATAAATGCTAAGGACATGAACATCCTGTCTTAAGAATCAATCTAATGAAAGAAATATAACAGACACAAACAATACATTATTAGCTTTTAAAGAAATAAAGTACCTCGGACAAGACGAACAACTTGCCTTCAGAGGGAAAATATGAAGGCTCCTATTTCTCTATGACTGAGGAGGTCGTATCTAAGCTGGGTCTTAAAGGAGCAACCTTGTTAATTTTGTTTTCAGAGTGGGAGGTAGAAGAAAATGTAAATAGAGAATAGCAAAAACTATGTACAAACACTGCATAATATACAAACACAACAGTTATCAATGAAAAATACCTGTGAATGAAAAATACCTGTGCCTTTAGGGAAAGGGGTGTAGATAAGTAGATTGCTTCTAGATGAAGGGGACCAGGTTCTCAAAAACTATTACTTGCTTTGTATTGCTGTTTTACTCTATAAGAAATAGAACATCAGTAGAAATTTTCTATCAGGGTAAACAAAAATAGCTTTGATTTTTTAAGAAGATAATTATAGTAGCTGTGGGAAAGCTGAACTGAATCTGAAAAGAACAAAAGAGAATAAGAGCCCCAGTTGTGCTGTAAATGATTTTAGGCCAGACTGAAGGTTTCTGTCACTGTGAGAAAAAACTCACAAAGATATCAACAGGTTTCTAACTATGAAGTCAGGATGAAAAGGATCTATTATTAACCAAGATACCAAAAATGTATTTTGCCTTATCTTGAAATAAGCAAGGGTGGAGTATATATAAAAAATTTTGTTTTGAATATATTAAACTCAAAAGCCAGAGATTAGGTAGGTGACAGTAGGCAGCTGGAAATCAGGTCAAAGAACTGGGTAGAGATCTAGGCTGTGCCTGCAGAGGAAGGTGTGGATGAGATCATCTACAAGAGGTCTTAAATAAGAGAGAATCAAGGGCAGTACCTGGGAAACACTGATATTTGAGTAGTAGGCAAAGGAAGAGGAACCAGTGACAGACAGTACAGGGAAAAAATGAACAGTGACGAGAACAGCCTATGTTAGGAAGAGAGCCAGCAGAGTGATCTCGTGAAAGACGTACAGAACAGACTTTTAGACTCTGTGGGAGAAGGCGAGGGTGGGATGTTCTGAGAGAACAGCATTGAAACAAGTATACTATCAAGGGTGAAACAGATCGCCAGCCCAGGTTGGATGCATGAGACAAGTGCTCAGGGCTGGTGCACTGGGAAGACCCAGGCAGATGGGATGGGGAGGGAGGCGGGAGGGGGGATTGGGATGGGGAACATATGTAAATCCATGGCTGATTCATGTCAATGTATGGCAAAAACCACTATAATACTGTAAAGTAATTAGCCTCCAACTAATAAAAATAAATGGGAAAAAAAAAGAAAGACAAATCAAGAAAGACCAAGACAATTATATCCAAGATATAACTGGATTTAACAAAGAGCTTATCAAAGTAAATTTGCTTTTAAAAGGACAAAGAGGAAAATAAAACAACAGCTAAAATGCTGAGGAAAGAAGGCAGAAATGTAAGAAGTTTTGTCATTTGGGTGTGCCTGTTGCATCTGGAAGACATGAAAGTGTATTAAGAGAACAGAATCAATGCAGAGGAACTCTGGCCTCTCAGTTCACTGACTTCACCACCTCTGAAGGTGTCTTTTCCATTTTGGCCAGTCTAGATCTTAGTATCATTATCATCTCTAAATTTCTGAAATGCAAATACACCCCCTCTCTGATCACAACTTCTTATCCTTCTAGCATACTCCAGCACCTTACTACATCTCTCTCTAGTATACTTTTTCTCTAGCCAAAACCCATCCCCCTTCACAACACACAGTTTAGATTCTGAGCCTCTTTACTCTGCTCATATTTCCTTTTGTCATTCCATCTACCAAAACACAACTTGGCATGATCCTACCCTAAACTTAACCTATATCCAGAATGCTGATCATACAAATCATACAGAACTGGCTGATAAAACTAAGAATTCATAGCTACTATTCCCAAATGGACATAAATATACTTGGCAAGCTGATGTTTCCCCACTCTGTTCATTTTTACTCTCAACATTGATGATTTTAAATATTCTCCCCATCATTCAGACTTCACTTTCCCCCTCTATTTCCTGAGCAGTAGAGAAAATGTCATCATGTGTTTCACAAGGAAAGCAGGAGCTAACAGTCAGGAAGCCAAACTGACTTTCCTCACCAAATCTGGAAAACTGATTCCACACTTACTTCTTTTTCAATTTTTTATAATTTAAGAGATCCTCCATGTATGAAGTAGATCATCTGTGCTCTGGATTCTATCCCTCTAACTTTGTCATCGACCTGTATTATAGTCTGTCTTTCCTGTAACTTTGATGTCTTTTTCTAATGATTCTCTCACATTAGCATTTAAGCATTTAAACATCTCTTCCATCTTATGCCCACAACTTATCTATTTCTCGTTCCCAATCAAAGCCAAACCTCACAGGATTAATCCTTTAATTTTTCCTGGCCTACTTTGCTGACCATTCAGAATCCAACGATACTTTCAATCCAGGCTCATTACTCTTCTAAAACTATTCTTATTAATGTTACAAATAATATCCTTGCAGCTAAAGACAGCAAGTAATGTATGGGCTCTGGATCACTTGATAGCAGCATTCCACACTGTTATCGCTCCTTCCTGTCTACCCAGTCTAACTATGCCTTTTCAGAATCCTTTGTAGGCTTTCCTCCTCCATCCAAATCTCAATGGGTGCATTGACCAAGCTCTGTGCTAGGCCTACGTCTAGAGAATCTTATCCCTTCCAAAAGTCCCTAATATCTTCCAAGTATTTATCTCCAGTTCTGTCTTGTTTATAAGCTCCAAGAACCAAGTATCTGTATAACCAAATATCTGTATAAATACAGACCACTTCAAATCACTTCTTCAAAGCCTTTCTTTCCACCCCATTACAATAGTCTTGAAGTCAGGAAAAGTCATTTTTCTTATTTAATCTCAGCACTTTAAATAAAGTTGTTTATACATGGTAGTTTTTTTTTTCCTTTTTTTTTCATTTATTTTTATTAGTTGGAGGCTAATTACTTTACAATATTGTAGTGGTTTTTGTCATACATTGACATGAATCAGCCATGGATTTACATGTATTCCCCCCCGATCCCCCCTCCCACCTCCCTCTCCACCCGATCCCTCTGGGTCTTCCCAGTGCACCAGGCCCGAGCACTTGTCTCATGGTAGTTTTTTTGTTAATGAATAAATTATGAGAAGGGAAGAACAGACGTATAAAGGAAGAAATGTGCAAATCAGGCAAAGTGAATTTGAATGGTGTCTACCTTTTGGTGCAGGTGGGGATAGTGACTCTTAAGACACAAGGATGGTATTTGGGTTACTAGATTTGTTCTCTATCCTGAACTTTTATGATTACAGTCACAAAAATTTTTTTTAACTAAAACTAAGTCTTACCTATTTTACAGTATGCAAATTATATCTCAATAAATAAGGAGCAGGAGGAAGATGGGTAGGGAACAAACAAGAAAGAGAAAAAGATAGAGTGCACTTTCATATGACACAGGCTTCAACAGGAGAAAAATAGTGGAGGTGATGGGAAGTATAGGTGTGATAATATGGAGGCAAGAGAAAGACAATCACATTGATGATTCTGAGACTGAAAAAGTAAATACCAGTTGCTTGAAAGAGCTAAAATATTCCTCTTGGGGGGAAAAAAAATAATACAGTTAAAGCAAGGCTGGAACAAGTCACAGGGAAGAAGAAATTTCTACTGTGAAGAGGCTGAGAGTATAATCCTGTAACTGAGTGGCAAAATTACTAAATGAACTAATTTTTTGAAATAAAATGTTATTTATATTTACACAAATCATAAAAATATACCTTTGTTGCATATGTAGGTTTTTCTATTGCTTCATCACCAATGAAGAAGTCTAGGTCATCAACACCTTTCATCACCCTCCTTTGAGCTTGATCGCCCACTTTTGCTGACTCCTTAATAGCGATACCTTTAAAATAGAAGTTATTTATGCATGTCAAAAACTTATTTTTTTCAAGTGAGACAAATTTTTCACTTGTATTTTTTCATAATAAAGTATTATTACATAGAACATGATCTAGTATATTTAACTGCTAAATTAAAGCAAAAAGTTCATTAATTAAAAAATGACAAAATTCCTTTAACACAGTGAAATCTCAACTTCTACCCAGAAACAAGGCCTCAAATATAAAAAGCCCCCAAAAGAGAAATACTGCTCTGGGAATGTTTCAGTTATGTTTTTAAAAACTATGTAAGCTCTATTTTGATCTGAGTAAAACTGTAGTTCCACCAAGTCAACACAGGCTTGCTGGACAATCAGAAACAAAAAATTGAAAACCAATAATGAAAAGTAGGAAAATTACATGGGGAAATACTTTTTTTAAACTTTTTTCATATTTCTATCCTGTTTGCACTACTATGAACTAGCTTAGTTTTAGCTAAGGACCTGTTAAACTTTAATCCACATATAAAAAGGGAAATTTCAAAATTTCAAATTTCAAATCATTCAGGTAAAACCCCCAGCAATCTCCTTATATAATTTCAAAAACCAGCATACAGTTCTAGACCTAAAACTTATTAATTTCTCAACTAAGTTGTAAATGTCTAAATCCTTCAAATTAAACAGCTCTTCATTCAAAATATCTGCATGGAGGCTTTCCTGGTGGTCCTGTGGTTAAGACTCAGCTCCTTCTACTGCATGGGTGCACCCCTTGGTCAGATACTACATGAGGAGTGGCCAAAAATTAAAAAAAACAAAAAAACATGCATGCACATAAGCTGATGGGCCATTCAAACAGTTACACTTTCAGTTAATAACAATTTATATCCTTAATAAGGTATGTAGAAAATACTGAAGGAAATTCTAAATCTAATCTACTTCTAAAGGCTGCTTCTCTAGCAAAATGCACATACACATCCAGATGCGTCACTACAAACTTCCTAGAAGACAAAGATTATGAAAATAACTTTGAACCATATCCACAGGTTTTCCAGATCAAATATCCGTGTTCATCAGTGGCAATGATTATATCTGCTCATTATAAAACTACACCTGCAGCATTAAAACTAGTTGGGTGAAAAAAAAAACTCCACAATCAAAAATCTTTTCTTTCATACACAAACGGATTTTTAACATGCTACAACCTCTCATAAGAAAGACAATGAAAACTAAAATTGCAAATTTTGGCAGAGAGATGAAATAGAGAAAGGATACAACATTGATGAGAACCAAAGGTTTAAAATATCAAAATTATACAGGCTTCCAACTAAGACTTAATACAGCACTTAAGAATATAAGCAAAAACAAATTTTGCAAGAATCAGAGTTAACACATCAGTAATCTCCTGAAATAAATGTTTTAATCATAACACAATGCCTTATAAAAGATTACAAATTAAGAAATTGCAAAATCAGCATCTTATGGGTTGAGTTGTGTGTCCCCAAAAAGATGTTTAGGTCATAATACTTACTACCTCAGAATGTGACCTTATTTGGAAATAGGGTCTTTCAAGTTAAAATGAGATTATTAGGATGGGCTACAATTCAATGACTGGAGTTCTTATAAAAATACAAAATTTGGGCATATCCATGTAAGGAAGAAAAACAATGTGAAGACACATAGGGTTAGCTATGTGACTGGAGTGATGCACATACAAGCCAAGGAATGCCAAGTATTGTCAGGAAACACCAGAAACTTTAAGAGCCAAGAAGATTTCTCCCCTAGAGCTGTCAGCAAGATCATGGCCCCACTGACACCTTGATTTTGGACTTCTTGCTGCCAGTACTACAAGTTTCTGTTGTTTTAAGCCACCTGGTTTTTGGTACTTTGCCTTAGCAGCCTTGGGAAACTAATATAAGCATATACACGGTATAAAACTAAACTCAAACATAACTAACGTCAAGTACTAGTTTGCAAAAGTACTCTATTTTAGTCAGCAACAGAGCCAATATTTGTCATCAAAATCTTAAACAAACTATCAATATATTGATATGTAAAGTTGGGACAAAAGTGAAAAAAAGCAAATCTGTCCCTCCATATAGATAACAAATACGCTTGAATCAAGGGTAAAAACAACAGTACTACAAATTAACACCACTATATTCCTATGAATAAGTTATTTCATCAGTGTCACCTAAAAGCCATTCCATGTATCGAAGCATTAGATTTAGGTAATGGCCTAAATTCAGATGATCAATGCCTAGAGAAATATATCAAAAGTTTATCAGAAGTGCAAAAGTCAAACAGGTCTGTTTCTAGAGAATGAAAGAAATATATAATAGCTCCCCCTTTAGAGATAATTTTGACACATCTTCACACATTTAACTTTGTTCTTGCCATACATAAACAACAAAACTACTCGTTCATGTCCGATGGGTGCCCAGTCGAGTCCAGAGATCTATAGTTCAGGCAAGTCTGGTGATTTCTACCTTGTTCTCAAAATTACAGACTCTGAATCCTAAGCTGCTTTCACTATTCTCTGCATGTTTATCTTTCTATTTCCTTCTCATTTTCATAAATCAGTAAGAATACACGAAAATATTCACTCACACAAATACTTCCAAAATTAAACCACCTATGAGTTAGAACCACCAAGGAATGGCTCAAAAAGTTTGTTGTCTGATATGCTAAAGTCTTAACCTGGTGGTAGGTCAGGTAGGTGAGAAATGTTACTATATAACGTGCAAAAGGTGAACTGTTTAAAAGTCAGATGTCCAAAATATGTCCATCAAGGACCAGATACATAGACCAGGCTAACAAATAAGAGCACAAACAAACCAAGTCAGAAAGTATTTTTTAAAAACATCTGAAAGATAAATTATTGAAATTGGACAGTTAAAGTGAAGTTAACAAACGTAAGACAGAACAAAAGTAACCTAAGTAAGGTTATAGAGTATTAGAGAACAGCTGAGGTCTGCATCTCTAAAGATGAGATGCCATCCTTATTTTGAAGCATGGGCTTTTGTTAGGGATGTCAACAAGCACAAGCCCTGCAAAAATCATGAGCACAAATCAAAGGATGGTCTTTGTACTTAATAGTAACACACAATTAATAACAATATCTTAAAAGCGGATTCCCAACTCTCATTTTTGTCTTTAAAAAGGTATTTCGTAGATTTATTAAACGAAGAGCTAAAAAGAGATCTGAAATAAACGTTCAGAGGGACAGAAATGAGGCCACACTTAGAACTTGGCAAATCATGTTTCTAAAGGACTAAATCTTACAGTGTTGAAATGATTATGTTTTTCTTTTTTACTTTATCAAGAAAAAGATATTAAGTCAGCTTATTTGTGACTTAAAAGAAATACTTACAGGAAGGGATGATAAACTGTGGTTCCGTATTTCCAGCATATCCTAGTTTTGTATACCTGAAAAACAAAAAGAATTTTATAAGTATTTCACTAATATCTTGGCAATTATGAATTAATTCTTAGATTTCTATTTGTTATAAAGTAAGAGTCCATTCTGGATAAATACTATACAAAATCCCATAGCTTCAATTCATTTAAACATTTCTACTTTCGAAATTGTTAAGTACCCATAGCTTTTATTATTTGTATTTCAACTGTTTTATAAAACTGCTGTCTCTTGTATTACCAAATGGGTGATTAAGCCTCTGATAAAATAATATATAGTTCCATATAAGATCAATAATTTTAACAGTGTAACTCTAGATACAGGAAGAAGCAACAAGAGGGACTATTTTCCTGGATCGAGAGGCTAGTAATACAGGTGGTTCAGAGAATTTTGGATACTGTTCTATGACCTAGTCCAGCAGAGCACACGGAGTGGCCTATAAGCAACACCCCTGCCAGACCTGGGAATGAGCAGTCTCAGTACAACAGGACCAAACGGCACCCTCAAACCATGTACCGATTTATGACCCGAAGGGACCCTGCCAACTGGAAACTGGCAACTGCCATCTACCTCTACGAAGATTAAATCATGGCCACTGCAGCTGCTGACCTTCAACACCACTGAAAGGAGATTAGGGTGGAGATCAGGAATCTCGCACTCTGTGCTCTGGAAAAACTGGCAGAACAGGCCTTCAGAGTTGGATATCGCCAGGAAAAGATTTTATGAGTCCCAATTCCTGCATCTTCTCATACACAGAGAAACACTAACATTGTTAAAGATGATATCTGCTTTGGCTAATAAGAAAAATATTAAAAGTCAAAACAGAGTAACTATGGTTCAGACATCCAAGGAAATAACGAGGTGACACAATGGGTATAATTTCAGACTTTGCATTGCTAACAAGCTGAATTTTCTGAGATGCGTCAGGCTTGGATGCCACTGGACATTATCAAAACAGTATCTGCTGGCAGCTAGTAACTACAATCTTTTTATAAAGCTAGGTAACTGGCTACCTGGCTACAAGTCATTAAAACTGAGAAGGAGTCTATGGGGCTTTACGGTCTTTCTGTGTCCCCTGTTTCTTCCCAGGTGGCTCAGTGGTAAAGAATTTGCCTCCCAATGCAGGAGTGGGTCAGGAAGATCCCCTGGAGGAGGAAATGGCAACCCACTCCAGTATTCTTGCCTGGAAAATGCCATGGACAGAGGAGTCTAGAGGGCTAGAGTCTATGGGTCACAAAGAGTTGGACACAACTGAGTAACTGAGTACACAAGCTTCACATAAGAAACTGCACTTCTAGAAACTGATCCTATTGGGATATTCACAATGTACAAAGTAACATACAGTAAGGCGTTTCGTGACCATCTTGCTTATAACAGCAAAAGTGAAAAGAAAGAGCCATCAAATGAGAAACTAATTAAATATGCTATGTTTAAACCACAGAATATTAGTTAGCTATTAAAAAAGTGATTGAAAAAGCTCTCTATGTATAGATATGGAACAATCTCCAAAATGCTTTTGTTAACTGAACAATATCAAGGTACCGAACAATGTGACATTTGTTAAAAAGTAAAGGGTACAGGTAAAACATATTTGGCTGTATAAGCACAGAATATCTCTGGAAGAGTATAAAGAAATTCATAATTTTGGTTGTCTCTAGAGAACAGAACTAAGTAGGCAAGGGTAAAAAGATTTTTTTATCACATATTATTTCGTACCATTTGAATTCATTACTATTCAAAAAAAAAAGTATAAATTTTATAGTGTTTGCCATAATAGAGTCAACCTACAGTCTTACAATGGCTTCCCTGGTGGCTCAGCAGTAAAGAATCCGCCTGCCAATGCAGGAGACATAGGTTCAATCCCTGGGTCGGCAAGATCCGCTGCAGAAGGAAATGGCAACCCACTCCAGTATTCTTGCCTGGGAAATCCCATGCACAGAGAAGCCAGCTACAGTCCAGACATTCACCAAAAGAGTTGGACACGATAGAGAGACTAAACAACGTCTTACATTGACAAAATAACAACAAGGATGGCTAGAAAAGCGGAGCTTCCACAAGCAGCATGTTGGGGGCCACTTAGGAGACAGCTGGACACTTTTTGGCTATAAGGAAAAACCTATTATCTATAAGCAGGCTTTAAAAAGAAAGTATTTACATCATGATATTTTGAGAAACACACTCCACAGATAGAGTTTGACTCCATATTCAAACACTGCTAAACAGCAGGCAGGTAAATTACTGTGATATTATTGGATTCTAATAGTTTCAGCAGAAATATTTTTTAGTATGATGGGAAGATCTCTCTTTGGGGTACATTTTAGCTCCAAAATTAAGTTCAAGATCTGAGAGTGCTAACAGACTAAAACATTAAAAATAAGGGGAAAACATAAACTGTTCAAAATGAGATACTGCTCCACTGACCAAATCTGTACAAAAATTCCATACTGTACATGCTATAAAAATAAATAAAACTTCTTTGCTAGACATACAAAAGACCCCCTTTAATATTTGGCTTCTGACAACATCTTCCAGCAGCCCTGACAGCACACCACACTACCAAACCATAAAAATACAAACAATTTCCAAAAAGACCAACTCATGCCATGCCACAGAGCCACTATTAACACTGTTCCAGATTAAATGCCAATGCTTTTCCATGAAAACTTTCACAACCTCCCACATAGTTGATTACCTCTGCCCTTGTGAGTACAAGTATCATTTACTAATAATTCCTAAGTCTTGATTCCTTCATTTGTAAAATGAACAGCAGTAACTCAAGACTGACTGCTCAGGGTATTTAACAGGAGAACAAGGTAAACCATTGAGCACAGCGCCTGGCATAAATAGGACACACTTAAGCCATGTCAACTCCAATTACTCTTTTCATGCATTCTCTCCAAATTTTCCATTCCCCAATAATCAGATAAAGACCATGCAGATATTTGAACTTTTAAATACTTATCAGTTCAGTTCAGTCGCTCAGTCGTGTCCGATTCTGCGACCCCATGAACCGCAGCACGCCAGGCCTCCCTGTCCATCACCAACTCCTGCAGTCCACCCAAACCCATGTCTATTGAGTTGGTGATGTCATTCAACCATCTCATCTTCTATCATTCCCTTCTCCTCCTGCACGCAATCTTTCCCAGCATCAGGGTCTTTTCCAATGAGTCAGCTCTTCGAATCAGGTGGCCAAAGTATTGGAGTTTCAGCTTCAGCATCAGTCCTTCCAATGAACACCCAGGACTGATCTCCTTTAGATGGACTGGTTGGATCTCCTTGTAGTTCAAGGGACTCTCAGGAGTCTTTTCCAATATCATAGTTCAAAAGCATCAATTCTTTGGCTTATCACTATGGTACAAATTATCCCTGTATCCATAAATGAAAGTCAGTCTGTAGAAGATTTTTCAGATTAGTTCTTATATCTGTTTTTTCAACCCTTTCACTGCCTTTTTTTTTTTTAAAGGTAAGAAGTGGATTTATTTAGAGAGAACCTACTCCACAGACAGATTGTAAGACATCTCATAAGGCAAGACTGGCCTTGGGAAAAACATACTCCACAGACAAGAGTGTGGGTTGTAGTAGAGGGCTAGTGCCCACATTTTTTATACTTCCAAATCAGTCTCTTCTTAACGTAAAACTTTCAGCTGTGATAGAATAGAACTCCTGCAATAGATGGAGGTCCTTTTCCTATTTGGAACCAGCCTGTTGTTCCAGGTCCAGTTCTAACTGTTGCTTCCTGACCTGCATACAGGTTTCTCAAGAGACAGGTCAGATGGTCTGGTATTCCCATCTCTTTAAGAATTTTCCACAGTTCATTGTGATCCACACAGTCAAAGGCTTTGGCATAGTCAATAAAGCATAAGTAGATATTTTCCTGGAACTCTCTTTTTTTTTCGATGATCCAGCAGATGTTGGCAATTTGATCTCTGGTTCTTCTGCCTTTTCTAAAACCAGCTTGAACAGCTGGAACTTCACGGTTCACGTATCGCTAAAGCCTGGCTTGGAGAATTTTGAGCAATACTTTACTAGTGTGTGAGATGAGTGCAATTGTGTGGTAGTTCAAGTGTCCTTTGGCATTGCCTTTCTTTGGGATTGGAATGAAAACTGACCTTTTCCAGTCCTGTGGCCACTGCTGAGTTTTCCAGATTTGCTGGCATGTTGAGTGCAGTGCTTTCACAGCATCATCTTTTAGGATTTGAAATAGCTCAACTGGAATTCCATCACCTCCACTAGATTTGTTCATAGTGATGCTTTCGAAGGTCCACTTGACCTCACACTCCAAGATGTCTGGCTCTAGGTGAGTGATCACACTATCGTGATTATCTGAGTTGTGAAGATCTTTTCTGTACAGTTCTTCTGTGTATTTTTGCCACCTCTTCTTAATATCTTCTGCTTCTGTTAGGTCCATACCATTTCTGTCCATTATCGAGCCCATCTTTGCATGAAGTGTTCCCTTGGTATCTCTAATTTTCTTGAAGAGATCTCTAGTCTTTCCCATTCTATTGTTTTCCTCTATTTCTTTGCACTGATCACTGAGGAAGGCTTTCTTATCTCTCCTTGCTATTCTTTGGAACTCTGCATTTAGATGGGAATATCTTTCCTTTTCTCCTTTGCTTTTCGCTTCTCTTGGAGATCAGTCCTGGGTGTTCATTGGAAGGACTGATGTTGAAGCTGAAACTCCAATACTTTGGCCACCTTGTGTGAAGAGTTGACTCACTGGAAAAGACCCTAATGCTGGGAAGGATTGGGGGCAGGAGAATGGGACTACAGAGGATGAGATGGCTGGATGGCATCACCGACTCGATGCACATGGATTTGGGTGGACACCGGGAGTTGGTGATGGACAGGGAGTCCTGCCGTGCTGAGATTCATGGGGTCGCAAAGTGTCAGACACAACTGAGCGACTGAACTGAATAGATGGAGGTCAGCATGACTGAACCACCTGCTCACACCCTCTCTAGTTTGGGTACAAAAGAATTAGAATTATTCAAATGCACAAAATCACGATCAA